CTGCTGGTGCTTGGACTCCAAGGGTGGAGAAACACGAATCAGCATAGGGACAGGGGCATTTTCTACATTGCTTTTCAACCTTTCCGGCAAAAAGTGGACCAGGGTGTGAGAGTGGCTGGTCATGGTCCTTTCCCCCCTCTGCTCCCTCCCTTGTCCTTTTAACCACCAGCTGGCACAAAAGGCCAAAAAAATGGAATTGAAAGTATATATACATACTAACATATGCATATATATATATACTTATACATATACATTATATATAGAGAGATATATTATATATAGATAGAGATATACATACACACATATATATATATATCTCTCTATCTATATATATCTCTATCTCTATCTATCTATATATCTATATTTATATAGATATATAAAGTGCATTTGAAGTGCCTTGACTGTAAATCTATATCTATATCTAATCAAGGCACTTAGCCAGATTCTCCTAACAAGGTGTCCTTCTGGGGAAGGCTTGTTGAAGGGGTAGGTGGGGGGAAAGTAAGAGTTTCTTGGAGGTTGTAGTCACTGTCCTTGCCTATAACACTGGGTATGGATCTAACAAGGAAATGGAAGGTTAAATCATTTTTGGGTGGTAGCAACTTCAAGACTAAATGCTGTAGAAATGCTACAGAGCTGAATTTACAACCATGGCGATACGCACACACATGCACATATTGAATTCCCCCCACTTCTTTAGTGAGCTAAGTGTACTAGCTCTGCAAACTCAGAGTGAGCTGGGCTGCATATGGTGTTGCTTAAAGTTGGTTTTCAAGTTGCATCCTCTCATTTATTTGGGGAAGGGGGGAGGTGAATTCTTAAAGGCCTGTTGAAGAAGGGCTCCGAATTTGACCAGACCTTTCTTTTTCGTGGTGGTGGTGGTGAATCTGTGTGCTCTGTGGGTGTGAGGAGGAAGGTAGAGAGGAGCATTAATCACATTTTCCACTGTATAGTCTGCATATTCAATTTTAAAAAAAATCATCGCATTTAGGTATACGGCTGGGTATTCTTTGGGCTATTTTTCCTGTCTCTTTTCTTGCTTCTGAGCTCAACTTTACTCCCCCCTCTTCCCCTACATTCTGAAGATGATTATGGAGCATCTTATTTAGCTTTTAGACTTGGCCATGACACAATTCAGGGCATAGAGGGAGATTATGAATGCATGATACAGGCAAGGCAGCAGGGGGAAGGAAAAAAAATGACCCTCTGGAGCTCCAAACAGCCTGCATCAGGGTCTCTTTTTAGCCCCTTGACGCCTCCATGTTGAGAGGCTGAAAGAAACTTTATTGAAGTTCGGGTAAATGGCAAAAATGGGTTCACTGAGAGGACAACTTTTCTATTGCATCAGTTTTATCCTGGCCAGGCCGGCTGACCTTTGACCCGGGTGCTTCTCCCAACGTGTACCTTCTGTGTGTCTCTACACAGATTTAGAGGCACCACGACTGTTGAGGGTCTTTGTAGATTTTCCTATAGGGAGAGATGGGGCACTTTCAATGCGTGTTCTCGCATTGTGCTGTCATCCCAGGAGAAAAGGGAAGCAGGGTGAAGTCGGGGCCAAACTTCTCTTCTCCTGTCCCGCCTTCCCAAGCATTATTTCCCTCCTGGCTGCCCCACGACCAGATCAAAGTGTCCCCCCCTCCCCCCTTGCAGTTTAAACAAAAAAAAAAAATAATAAAATGAGGCAGATGATTAAAACCAGGGCGTGAATCAAGAAGAGAGAAAGAGCCACATTGCATGTGAGTTAACAGTGCAAAAAAGGGTCCAGATTCGCCCCCCTCCTCCCCCCCGCTTGTCCAGACAGAGCTGGGAGAAACCCCAGTGAGGAATCAGTGGCTTTCTTTTTGCGGCGCTCACTCTTCCAGCTTCACCTTGGCACAGCTGGTCTGGCATCTGGGGGGCACCTTCTTCCCCAGGCCTTTCATTGTGCGCTGCTTGGATATTCGCTCTCCTTCCAATATGGGGCTGTTAAAAAAAATCATCACAGCAGCCAAGTGTTTCTTGAAGATCAGATTAACATCTCAGGTCAGTTCCTTTCCTTTTTCTTCTTCTTCTGGTCCAGTTTGTTGGGGGGCGACCTCAAGTTGATTGCTTCCCCCTCATGGTTCGGATGTGAGTTTGTTTTTGTGTGTGTGTATGTGTGTGTGTGGGGGGGGGGGGGTTTTTTTTTTAAATAGCAAGACTGAAAAACTCCAGTCCTTGAAGGGCTGGAGAGAGAGCAGTTTACAGGGGGGGGTTAACTTGCTTTTAAGTTAAGCGGTGAAAAGCTCTGGTAGTGCCAAGGAGAGCCTGTGTTCCCTGAAGTTGCAGGGGGCTGTGAAAGTTAGTGTCCTCCTGGATTGCTTGCTTGAAAACAGCAGTTGGAGAGATGCTGTGGGGTGATAACACAAGCCAGCAATTAAAACTAAGTATCTTCTGCTTTAGGAGAACAACCCCCACCCTCCCCACTCCCCAGCATGTATCCCCAGTCCTTTCCAGACACCCCCACCCCTTCCTTTTTTGTCCTAGGCAATAGCAAGAATAAGCTCCCAAGCTCTTCAGTCACAGATCAACCCAGGGACTTGCTCTTTTTTTTTCTTTTCACCCCCCCACCTAGTTGGAAAATGTTCCTCTCCGGCCTTAATTGTAATTAAAAGACAAACAGGCAGGCAGGGTTAAGTGAGTGAGTTACGGGTTCGCAACCGGCACTGACAACACCTCTAACGTGTAACTTATATTTATTGTGGTCTCGTATATCATTATCCAGAGATATAGTTTTATGTACTTCCTAATCTGTCGCTATGATTTATTTTGATAGGCAAGGAACCAAGCCAAACATTTGGGGACTTTATTGAAAGACTAGTGCTTCCTTGCGAACAGCTAGCAGCCCGTGCTGTTAATGATGTTAATAATTTCTGGCAGATAATAGCCTTTTCGGTGTGTTTGGGGGCACTGGATGCAGACCCTAGTCCTATGTGGGGTGGGGGGGAGTATTTTTTCGAGCACCCTCCTGCTTGCAAAGGAAATCCTTTGCTGCTCTGGACTCTCTTCTTTCGACCTAGGGGATGAAATATTTTGTCCCTTCTTCACTTCGGCCTCCTTCCTAAATTCAGGTGTCCCTGGTTAA